ATTTTGTGTGTGTGAGGAAGGTGTGTGTGTGTGCACAGGAGTTCGCGTACCTATCAATTTTGCCCAAATTTGTCTGTAAATAAAAAAGATACGTAATACCAATAATAACACAGGAGTTGGCGTACCTATCAATTTTGCCCAAATTTGTCAGTAAATAAAAAAATACGTAATACCAATAATAATATTATTATTATACATATTACGTATTTTTTTTATTTAATGAAAATTTCGGTATACATAGGTACGCGAACTCCTGTCGTGTGTGTGTGTACAGTATAACAGTACGACATTATTTGTGTATTATTCTGATGTTTGTTAATGAAGAAGGCTATCTTAATTTAATTTTTGTCTATAACATGTAAATATATAAACCTAAGACAATTTTCAAATCGGCTTTTTTCTTTAAGAGAAAACATGTATATATATATACAAGAACATTTTTTTACTATATATATAAAAAAGAACATCAGGATATTCAAACACGCAAATCTTATTTATTTGTGAGGTGTGTGTGTGTGGGGGGGGGGTGCTTAGGTTAGAACTCCAGCACCAAATTTTTTTCCCCGAACACCAACACTTTCCCCAATTATTTAAGCCTGTACTGCAACATGTCTGTGGAAAGTGGGGAGGGGGCTTAACCTACGCAGCAGTGTCCGATCTCTTTACTAAGTGTATCTTTGGGGGAAAAAAGAGTGGGGCCCGCCCGGTTCCGACGCCTATATGGATCTCTTTAAAAGTAGGCAAAACATTCAAAAGAGTCTTTTTTGTTTAATAATTAGCATTGTAAATTCCCCCTCTGATAAGTTGTGTGAAATCATTAATCTAACCTTTATATGACATATGACATTGACATTTCAGCTTGATTGAATCACACGTTATGCACATTCTTTAATTGCAGACTTATGAGTCATCATGTTTATTAACTGCAGATCTGTAGCTCTCCGAAAAATATATATTAATAGACCGGAGAGCTACAGTGCCACCCATTAAAAAAACTGTATATTTATTGCGCAAAAAAAGTGCGCTCGGTTGTCGATTTATTTCTCCATGTTTTTAAAACTGTAATCTCAAAATATTACTAACCGTGTGTTCTTAGCATATTCTTTTACTCTTTCCACAACAAAATATTCCTCATAATTGTTTTTAATAGTCCTCCTGACCCTGTTATTGTAATCATCGAACATTTCGTTTATTACGTAATACTTTCATTTTGGTTTCAAAGATAATTCGGACCAATATTCGTCGTTCAGATGTCAACTACGAGAGAACTTGATAGAGGAGAGGGGAAATTTTTGAAATTTTCTCTTTTTTTGCAATTGAGGTAAGAATTTGGAAGAATTAATCAAGAACCGAGCGCACTTTTTTGCGCAATAAATAAAGTTTTTTTTCGATGGGTGGCACTGTAGCTCTCCGGTCTATCAATATATATTTTCGGAGAGCTACAGATCTGCAGCTGCAAGTTTATAAAATGCAAGTATATCTAATCTTGCAATTTAACCACTTGCGTTTAATTTTTATTTCAGATCTTTGTTATGTTCCGAAATTCGGAGCAAAAATGACATCTGATTTTAATCAGATTCCCTTGATGGCAAATAAGGGCGGTCTTCGCACGATTGAAAAATTAAACATCGATATATCATTAGTGCTTTATTATTAAAATGCGGGATATACATTCTTCCGAGTTATATAACACTTGTAAATAAATCTCTTTTTTGTATAATTCTAATTTGAAACATAAGTTTAATTTGATTTAATTCAGGATGTAAATTCAAACTAAATTTTTAAACAATATAATGGATATCTGAGTTTAAAAAAAATACGCGATTAAGTTAGATTAAGATGATACTTGCTATCTGCGTGCAAATTAATTTTTTTCATGAATTTGAACTTTGATATTCCCAAGTTTCTGTGGGTTAAATTGACGTTAAACTGCATCTTATATTTTTTATCCAATCCGGAAATGAATGTATATATACATGTATTATTGTTTTAAATCTCGAATATCTATGAAACCTATAAAAAAAGAAGCCCGTCTTCTTCTTCTGTGTTAATAAATACGATTATTCAATTGATCTTTTTTTATTTAGCGTATTCTTTGGCTCTTTACCTATCTATCCTTATCGGAAATATTTGTCAGATGCAAGTAGGGCCTACACATCACAGGGCCCTCGTGATTTGCCTTATTATCCTTGCATATTTTGCAGTTTGTATGCTATTTTTTTTTTGACAAATAGACTTACATTTCTTTATTAACATTTTTTAAATGAATTATGGTAACATAATTTCACATAAATAAAATTACACCTTTCAGTGAACTTTCAATCCGCCACCGGAAATAGTAATATAAAGTTAAAATAAACATACTGCACATTCCTCGAGCAAAATCTTATCCGTTTTCAGACGTCTTTCATCAAAATGTTTTGAAATATATGTGTTTAATTTTGCTCGAGGAATGTGCAGTATGTCAATTTTAGAAATATCTGTTGAAAAAAGTGGAAAAAAATAGCAATTTCGGAAAAAACGGATCTTTAAACGTGGTGTATACGTTTAAATAACGGAGTGTGGAAATTTTGCTTTGCATATTTTAAAACTACCAATCTTCTAGTACATGTACATAGTTTTTATAATTTGGCAAACCTGTTTATTAAATTACAGAAAATACTGGGCCTCCGTATAATAACTAACGTACTTAATTCTTTGGGCAAGCATGCGTTTACTATGTATTCAAGCTGTATAAATCGGAATAACTTTGAATAACAATGGAAATTCGTGATTTGAATTGACTCCTCTTACAAAACACAGCCTCGCTCTTTAATTTTATTCACTTTAAATTTCTGTAATTTTGCAATGTAGCGATTAAGACCTAGATAGAATTATTTTATTAACTTCATTAGGCTACTTTCTATACTTTATTTTTGCGTAATTTACCGGGGGCCATTTTTTGTACACTTAATGCAATCATTCTTTGGCAAAAAGCATCTACGGGTGAAGGGGAACAAGAATAATGAGTTTTATGATCCCTGCCCCCTTGGGCCTGAGGGGTGGGGCCCAAACCACTAGAATTTATGCAATTTTTAAAAATATTCTTCTTTACTCTTGGTCATGAAGCATTCAAACTGTTTGCATGACCGAATTAGCATAGATTCCTCTACCAAAATTGTGAAATTCAAGGCCTTGGAGTCTGGGGTTCTAGTGCTTGGGCGGGGCAAAATAAGTATATAGTGAAAATGCATTATATCTTTGAAAATCTTCTCCTCTGTTCCAGGGTATTAAATGAAGTAACTTAGTGCATAGTTATACCCCCCGCAAACAAAGTTTGGGGGTACATAATTCAAGGTCGCCGAAAGAAAATATCATAATTCGTGTCCGGTCCATATCTTTCTTATAGATAAACTTGGTAGGTTCTCATTTGACACAAAGATTGCTCATGACATAAGGGTGTGTCATAACCTTAAACAAAGGTTATTTGGAGAAGTCCAAGGACACTGGAAGAAAACTTTCATAATTCGAGTCCAGTCCATATCTTTCTGAAAGATAAACTTGGTATGTCAATATCTTTCTTTGAAATTTTTTTTTGCAAAGTGCGTAATTTGTTTCAATGTGTATAGAAAAGAACCTTCCTTTTCGTTTAATTAAATGTTGAGCTAAATGTGTATATCAGGAGCGGATCTAGAACTTTTTTCAAAGGGAGGGGGGGTGAAGGATTTTTCAAAGGGGAGTTGAAGGGGAAAACAGTTGTTATAACGTAATTTTTACACATACATGTATAGTTAAATAACTCAATATGTACCTGTTGGAGTACAGTTTTTAAAAGTGGGAGGTTAATTGATCAACCTGGGAAAAAGTATTTGTATGAATTACTTGATTGTTTTTTATTTTAAAAAAGAAAGGAAAATATATATCCGAACCCGGAAATCTTACTTTGTAAAGGGAGTGTGGTTTCATTTTGTACTCGCAACCGAATTTCCCTATATATTACAACATTAATCTTTCACGGAACATTTTCTATAGTAAAATCACACCCATCTATAGTAAGAACACAAAACATTGGGACTTTCTTCTTTTTTGGAAAGCCAAAGGGGGAGGGGGGTTGCGACCTCCGTAACCCCCCCCCTTCTGAATCCGCCACTGTATATATCGTAATAGAGCTTACGTACGTTGTCCGTGTGTACCAGTAAGCCGTCAAATGATGTAAAAGTCAGCGCTTATTGTAAAAGTCTTCTAGTAGCAAGATGTTTTATAGTGTCAATATTTCAGCATTTCCTTATGACATGTAAGTGATTCTTTACTGTCAGCAAAACCTAGTCATTTTAAAATCAAGCATAATTTTTTATGCAGTTATCTAGACCCCCTACACCACGACACTTCTTATTTTCAACCTGATTTAATTTAAAAATTCATTTTAAAATGTTTTTAGCATGTTTTTTCTTTGTAAAAAGAAGAGAATTATTGCATTTAATCATAAAAATGTACCTCTGTAAGATGTATTTCTATATAGAAGACAAACAACAATGCACAAGCCAAAAATTATTATATAACTTGTATATCTTGTTCATAAAAACTGTCAAACAGAGAAATATATCTTGAATATGATTTTTTCCATTCATTGAGAATTTCAAATACCAATGAATTTTTTTTAAATTATTAAATGTTTATACCATAAAGGTAAGGAGAATAATTAGTTGAAACATGCGTATCTTTATTTAGAAAAAAATCTTACTTTTAAATATTCGTTTTTGTTTTCCACCTATTCCCCATATCATCATAGTCAACAAAGATTTACCTACTGCTTTAAAAAAAAAAATCAAATGTTTAACATAAGAGGACCTTTTATGAATTATATTATTCATCAAAAGAGTAATTATACATGTATGTTTCAATTCAAAAATTAACAAAATGACATGATTAACATTATATAAAGGCAGATAGAAATAGATTTAGCTTTAATATACGTTTAATTAGTGATTATCTCAACTAATCTATCCATTTATCTATACGAGTATTTATTATTAATTTATTTTTAGATGAGTTCTCCAAACTGACTGGTGACGAGGCGTCCGTGTTATTCTGTTTTCTGTGTTCTGACTCCGGTCCTCCTGACTTTACTGACACAGAGTGGCTGGACTTGCTTAATGAGATACGACATTTAGTGTACCGTAAACAGAATCCTGTAACACGTGAGGAAGCACAGCAGACTCTGGACAGACTGAAGTCACATGATTACCTTTGGGAAGATAAGGACAAGATAAAGAAGGACACAAAGGATGAGACAATGTATAGGATAACATTGATAAACCGTGATACACCATTCATTTACAGTAGTTATGACACAGCCAGTGTGTACCTGAGATCACGGAGATACAACATAAAACCTGGAGAGAAGTGTGTCATTTGTCCTCTTTACTGTGATTCCTTACTGTTACACCGTCTACATATGAACATACTGACTCACGTCACCATGGAGGACACGGGGATATATGATAACATACACCGGATATGTAAGTTTATATAATTTTGATTTTATCATTTTTATCCATTATACAATTATTATGTTTCGATGATCTAAGATTCACTGTTTGTTTCTTTTAGTTTAAATTGGTGGCAAAATAATAGCATCTATTTAGAATATAGAATAGATGCATTTATTTTATGAGAAAAGAAGTCGGGTTTGATGTAATATAAGAAGACTTACATATACATGTATTTAAAAATAGCTTGTTCATCATCATGTTCTATACCATCGTAAATTGACCTTGGTCAATAAGAAGGTGGTGTTTGGTATGGTTATTTAATATCTTATTTATTGGTGTGGTTGATATTTCATGCAGGCACAAACAATTAATTAAAAAAAAGCCAAATTATTTTTTTCGACAAATATTTTCTCTCTCTCTCTCTCTCTCTCTCTCTCTCTCTCTCTCTCTCTCTCTCTCTCTCTCTCTCTCTCTCTCTCTCTCTCTCTCTCTCTCTCTCTCTCTCTCTCTCGAGGGGGGTATAATTAAGAACTATTAATGTACAAAATAGACGAGGATTGTAAAAGGTTGGTCTGATTGTCTCAGTTTTAATGATTTTGTAAAGTGAGTTTTCCCATGGTTACATGTGTTTATCAATTTATGATGATTTGTGTTAAACATAATCCAAGTTATATTTATAGTACTTTCTTTCGTTTGGAAGGAATTCATTGTACAAAGAGGCGTGGCAGTCGAGTCGCGCAGCGACGAGACAGCACGCCTCTCTGTATAATAAATTTCTTACAAACGAAAGAAAGTGTCTGTAAATGTCTTGTGTCATGGTCCTTTGGATAGTCACTCCCTCGACATCAAACTGCACACGGCATTACGTCACAGGCCTAGGTCCATCGTAGACGGTTCAAACAAATCAGAAAGTACGAAGGAGGTGGTTGCATTGGAAAGTCAAGTGATGTTAAAAGAGTGTACAATTGTATTTGATGGATTAATTTTAGCAGTATGAATATTTCAAAAAAACATAAGGTACTGGAAACTTGGATCCGTCCGCAAAATGATCCGCTTCATTACTGTTACTATGGATATGGTTGCATGTCCGGAGGAAATCCAAATGGAGTACGGTAGCCACAATTGTCAAAATTATGGAATGCATTGTGAAAAAGTCCGAATGCATACTTGTATATTATACAAACATGTATCAGTGTGCATGTAACTCAATTAATGAACCCAGGAAACAGGTACTTTTAAGAAAATCATCGAACTGCGCGTTTTCAATATTGTCAGATTTACATTATCTTGTTTTCATTTGAATATACGTGTTTTTAGTGAAATTCTGTGTATTGTTTTTATTTTTTGTTTAAAGCAGTTAACTAATGAGTTTACATGTATTTCTCTTGAAAATGGTTTTCACGTAATACAGGGATGGAGTCGATTACATTAAAAAGTAATTAATCAAATTACAATTACTTTGACTTTCTCTTCAATTAAATTACAGCCTAGGCTTTATAAATCATGTAATTAATTGCTTTATTATTACTTTACAAAAACTGTAATTAATTAATTACAGTCAAGTACAGTTACTTTTTTGTTCATTTACCCCATCCCTGTCACGTATGCATTTATAGAGTGAAGGTTGGGGGGGGGGGGTAGATTCTGTGAGATTTCTCATGTTTCCTCTAGATATTGTGTATAAGCTTACATAAATTGAAAAAAAATATTTAAAAACCATCGAATTCGGTCGGAAGTTATTGTACGGTAAATTGGAAGTTATTGTACGGCTAAGCTCCGCCCCCTAGAAGTTATAGTACGTTTGAATTCAGCCAAAGGTCTTCTATCTGATTTAAAGTATGGCCAACATCAAAAGAAAAAGTACCGCACCATGACACAAAAAATAATTATATTTCTTTATTACGTATTAATCTTCAACATTTTTGTTCTTTAACACAAAAATTTAAATAACGCCAAATATAAAAAATAAAAATGACGTTTTCTTGTGACTTTTAGCCTTGACCAAGACAAAAAATGTAATAAAGCAAAATGTAATAATCCAAAAAATGGTGTTATTAGATTTTGTGCTTTAAGCTTTGACTGATGCCGGCGCAAAGTGAAATAATCCAAAATCTAATAATTCCAGTTTACCAAAAGAACTTATAGGCCCCGGTAAAATGTGTAAAAATAAACAATCAAATTAAGTACAATTTTACATCTCAAGTCATTAATTGATATCTAAACAATATGATTCAACAAATTTTACCGGTGAAATTCACGAATATACAAACAACAAAACCATACAATGTGGTAATGGTCAGCCAACATTTGTGCTTTTCCATAGTAAATCGAGAACGGTCATTCATTTCAAAGTCTTTGTTTACTTGAGCCTAACTTTATGCAAACTTTTGCGAATGACGAATACATTTATAAAACTTGTGTGAGAGTAGGAAATTACACGATTAGGCTGGTACTGAAAATATTAAACATGTTTAATATTTTTTTTAATAGTGTTTTTCTCAATAGCTAGTATATAAATATTGCATGAAGTTGAGGGTAACATTGAAAATTTTCACCCCAAGAAAACCATTGTCAACTGAAGCGCAGCTGAGTTATATTATACTGAAATTTTTATACAAATACATATAACAGTGAACCGTTCACAAGACGAAAGACCACCTTTAAGCAATCGCTTAATGGTAGCTTAATGGTGACTTAATGGTGGCTTAAAGAAGTTAATTCCTTTAAGCAACCATTAAGCTGAAACTTACAGGTGCTTAATGTCCAAACTTCATTAAGCTACCATTAAGCCACCATTAAGCTGAGCTTAATGGTGACTTAATGGTCAACCCTCATTAAACTTTTAAACGCATCTTATATAGAATCTTTGAACTAACTTTTAGTTATTTTAATATAATTTACGCAAAATCTATTCTAACTCATAATTCTGTCTCGATCATAATTTCTACGAGTTTTTTGTCAACATGCATAAACTTGATCACTGGGAACAAAGTTAGCTAATAACCAGGTTGGGTTGCTCGAGGTGTTTAATTTTTTCTTAAAATCATTTACAGTGATAATAAAACAAGACATCCTGTATCAGAACCTTATATTATTTTTTTGTTTTTTAAATTAATCATTATTATATGTGTTGTTTTTATTTTTAGTGTATATGATTAAATATAAATAATTTTTACACACTGTGAGCAAGTCCTTGTGAAATATCTTAAATTTACTATACCAAAAATTATTTTGTTTTTAGAATTATCTATATTCATGAACACAAAATATATATTACTTTTTAAAAACAAAATGGTATTTTTATTTCATGTGTTAAAAGAAACATTCAGCTACAGAATTAACAGGAATATAACTATATAATCTCATGAAAAAAAATTATGTCCTTTTTTTGGGGGGGGGGTGGCTACTGGTATACAAATGTTTAGTTTTCAAAGATTGACTTTTACCATGAAAAACTTTTTAATGGCTTTTACATCATGAATAATTCTAATTGATTCGTGTTATTTTTTTGTAATAATGCAGCGGTAAGTATCTGTCAAAATCTAGTCGGTCTTCAATGATTGTTATTTCAAAATCGATTTTCAGAGGAACGGCCGATCAGATTAAACATGACATTCGACCAGTTGTATATACACATTGAGAAACGGGGTAAGATTGATCAGACAGATGACAGATGATCAGTCTTCAGTAAACCGACTGGTCAGACAATAGACCTTAATTAGGTGCCCCCCCATTCCCGGTTAACTAACAGGAAACTATACATACACAACGTACACTGACAGATTTTAATGATCAATTATTTTAAAAAAATTTAAATTTAACGCAAGCATAAAACAAATTAAAAATTATGAATCATCATAAAAAGTCAATTATTTTGATACCCATTATGATACAAAAAGAATTGAAACTGAATATGATATTCTAAAAAAAAGTTTTTTTTAAACGTAATTAACCAGGTAACTCTTACGCGAGGATTGTCACTAAATTGTTGACACAGAAACCGTTAATATCCGCAGGAAATTAAAAATAATGGTAGAATCTGCTTTTTCCTCTTCCTTTTTCGATGATAGACTTTTGTGTTTTATCTATTATTAATTTATTTTCAATCATGATTTAATCCTTACATTTCAAAAATTTTCGAATAACACTAACAGAGCGAAGAACTCAATCACATTACATCAATCTAAAAGCCGAACTCAGTGTAGAAATATATAAATTAATGTGTTAAGATCCACAAATAAAATTGTTTATATTTTGATTAATAAATCAATTCAAATCTTTTGGAAATGTTCAACAAATATCTAGTAAAAACCTTTACAAGTCCAAACAAATTTTGAAAAAATAAGGGTTAAATATTTAATATTTTCCAATATTTATCAAGCGATAGGCGATAGCCTAATGGATAAAGAGAAAAAAAAGGCGTTCGCCTTGAAACCCCAAGGTCAAGGGTTCGCGCCCCGAATGTGGCGGTTTTTTTTAATTATTATTAATCCAAAGGTCAGGGGATCGAGTCACGACTACGGCTTTTTTTTGGATTTTGAATTTCGTTCTTTTTCATTATTTTTACCAAATCAAGATAAAAGCGGACTCTACATTTATAATATTGATAACAAATCACTATAAAAATAATTTTTGACCCATATAAACAATATTATCGACTACGTAGTTTGACTTAATGGTGGCTTAATGGTAGCTTAATGGTAGCTTAATGGAGTTTGGACATTAAGCACCTGTAAGTCTAGCTTAATGGTAGCTTAATGGTGACTTAATGGTGGTCTAAAAGTTACCATTAAGGGCCTGTAAGCCACCATTAAACTACCATTAAGCTACATTTAAGCATCCATTAAGGACTTTCAGTTGTCTTAATGGTAACTTAATGGTGGTGTAAATGTTACTTAAAGGTGCTTAATGGTGACTTAATGGTGACTTAAAGACAACCATTAAACCACCATTAAGGACCTATAAGCCACCATTAAGCCGGACTTAAAGGATGTGTTTCTTCTTGTGGTTCGCGCATAAATTCTGCGCAGTCGCTATTTTTTGGACTATCACCCGTCGTCAAGCAATGTTGACTGTTGCTACGCTAGAAAGGCGTGGCTTCAATATTCAGTGGGCAATGGTATTTTTAACAAATGTTTCTTGAGCAATCAAATTCATCTAATTTACATGAAAGTATATTATTGAGAGATATTTACCTGTGTGACCAATGTTGGGCCCACGTGTGGAATAAATTAATTAAAATTCCGATAATCTCTTGAGATCTATCCAGGTAAACATTCCTCAAAGGTGCTCACCGTGAAACATAGGTACATGTAGGTTTTGTATCATTAAGTCAAAAGTCGTGCCGTTTTGAGATATTTTAGAACAAAGGAGGGTAAAGAGAGTTTAGTGTCGTTCATAAAACTGTCAGCTATTTTTAACATTCCTGCAAGGCAATGAAACAAGTATTGAAAGCCACCTTAACACTCTTTTTTAATTTCAAATTCAATGACACTATTATTGTAATATTTCAAATGCAAGAGTACCAATTTCTTAGATTCATCATTATGGCTACAGGCAACTTCACAATTTCATTTATTTTTTTATAAACAGATTTAGAAAACGCGCCCCACTATGATTCATTATCAGATTGTTCAGGTGTCGATTAAATATCTCTTCCTCTTGATTTACATAAACGAAATTCAAAGAAGGTTCGGTACGATTTTTCCGGATTTAGGGTATCCATGGGTATCTAAAATATTCAGTTGTTTCAAATCCATGTTGATTTATATGATGCTTAACGTGCTTTTTAGAAACATTCACCAGTATCTAAATTTTACCAAAAGAGAACGATTTGGCTTTATATTCGATAGTAAAATGACACATAAAAAGGACCCATTGATTGTATTGTTCTAAGGATCATTGTAAATTTGTAGAACATGCTGTTTCAAAAAATTTATTTGTTCGTGCTTAAATAGATAGATAGAAAAATTCTAAATTTTCTTTTCCTTTTCTTCTCATTTCTTTATTTGGCGTTTCTCGGCATTTCTCTTATTTTGTTTAACATGACGAATTATAGATCTTAAAAGATTACAAAACAGAGGGGAAAATAACGACATGCATGAATAAAGTTAATGAGCTGGAATATATATATTTCCTTTCAATAAAATATGTATTTGATATTCTCGATTTTCTTATATTACAGTAAACATACCGTACAACGAAATAAGGGGAACTCGAAGTAAACGGACGCAGTTATTGATAACCTTAAAAGAACAAGGGGACGCTGTACATTACAGAGGAAGATCACAGGACAGTGTAAATCACGTGACGTGGCTCTGGAGATACGGTTACTGGGCGAGACCTGACATCGTGAGATCCTGTGTAGGTCTACATCAACACAACGACATTTACATCATCGACAACAAAGCTTACAGAAAACCAAGTAAGTATGGACTACAAAATCAGGAACACCTCGGACCGATATAGAGAGAGTATTAACGGCAAACGGTTATATATGAGGATGGCAATCAGAGGATTATTGGTATATGTAATCGATTAGTCGCATTTTTTCCATGGATCAAACAATTAACGGAATGGATCAGCTTGATTTAAGTTTTCAATAATGTTAAAAAAAACTTTTCTCAAAAAGCAATTTCAAAATTTGACATTATAAACTACAATAATCAGAATACTTTACATTTAATTTTCAAAAAACCAATAATTTGGGCATTAAATTACCATGCATTACCATTACTCTTTTTTCTTAAAGCAATGCATTACATTACCATTACGTATACTTTAGCAAAGTTATCCATTACCATTATCATTACGTTTGGATTTTTTTTTTCAAAATAGAAGTACAAAACTTTTTTTCATAAGCGCATCCACTTCCTTCAAAACTAAACATGATAAATGATAATTCAAATTCGATTTCATTCAAATAGTTTCATTCCATTTTATCATTTGCAAACAAAAAAAAAAATAATTAGAAAAATAAAATAAAATGGGATATATATTTAATAAGAAAATTAACCTAAACAATATTGATATATCTCATATAAATAATCATAAGTAAAAAGGAATCTGATTGATCGAGGCAGTCACGTGTCCGTCGTGTTCTGCATGCAGCAAAACGTCTTTTTCACGACTTTGATGTCAAAATGCAACGACTGATATCGTTATACTGTTGAGTCAGATTGTTAAATTTTAACATGTAATAAAATATAAATATTTTCAATAATGTTCTCATCACTACTGGACGAAAAATGTGCTGAGAATCCCAAATTTTACCGATAATGTTTGATAATTACTGATACTGTGCTGTTCTTGCTGATAAATACTATACATTTATTGACTGAGTTCGAAGGCAACATGCGTTTTGTCGGACTGAAGAACCAAACTGTCTGCCTGAGGCCGTTAGGCCGAAGGCAGACAGTTTGGTTCGAGGGTCCGATAAAACGCATTTTGCCCGAGAACTCTGTCAATAAATGTTTTGTTATACCTTTCATTTTTAATTTAAATATACATTTTTGACATACATGTATTTTGTATGATATTCCGTAATGTAACATTAAATATGTCACTGTTTAACACCAAAGAATGAATATGAGATTAAGCTCCGCCCATTCTGTGACGTAAGCGGTCCAACATTTCTCCGAGCGGTCCAACATCTCACTCAGCGGTCCAACATCGATTTTTTTATGCCCGCTCAGCAAAACATTAAAAATGTTAGACTTTTTTCTGTATAGATTTGTATAGAAACAAAATTTTAAAGGTATATCAATGATATTTACTGTTATTATTACTGTTGTTGCTGATAATTTTAGTTGTTGCTGATAAATACTGATAGTTACTGTCGTCTTTTACTCTAGAGTCTGATAAATACTGATAATTACTGTTGAGGTACTGTCGCTGCTGAGAATTACTGATAATTACTGTTGAGGTACTGTCGATGCTGAGATTTACTGATAATTGCTGTGGTCATTGTTTTTAACCTGGGAATGGATTAAAATAGCCTGAGAAATGATTATTTGTTTTTTAAAAAAAGTATTTTTACAAATCCATTACAGTAAATTACAAAATAAAATATTCTAAATAAAAAAAAGTCACGTTCTATTAATTTGTTTTCAGTTTTCAGCTATTAATTTTATCATAATCATTTTTAGATCATAATGCTAACATAAGCTTTCATAAATGTCTATGTTTTTTCTTTAAATGTAGATGACATTACCTGAGGAAAACTATTCTGTTGTATTTGCAGTGTTTTTTCTTCCCAAGTAGTTTTTCTTTTTTTTAAGTTTAATTTTTATTTATAAAGGTTAAAAAAATCTCATCTCATATTTTTTCTCACATGTCATCAAAAGCTTTTTGTGGGTATCTTTAATACTTCAACACAGTCAATGGTTGTAAATATCAATTTATTTTACCGTGTGGAGAACTGAAAATGAATGAGCACATTTAGTTGAAAACAACCCCCCCCCCTTTTCCATTTACTTTTAAATTAAGCTCTCATTTTAACAAGACAGTATTAAATATTTGTCATAAAATCTAGTCTTGAAGCGTACACTTTGTTATTTTATAGAAGAATGTGACAGGATTAAATAATTAAATTGAAGCATATTTGATTAATTTTTTTATATATATTATGTAGACAGCGCGCTCAAGTTCTTCGATGTGTTCCCTGCGAATTTTATATCATTGTGTCGCTTTCTAGCTCTCTCTCTCTCTCTCTCTCTCTCTTTTTAAAATTATTTGTTAAGGCTTTAGTATACAACACTTCATGACATAAATCTTATGCAGTGTGATTTTCACGTCTTTCTTTAAGCTAATTTTTTTTTCATTGTATATTGTACATACAGTTTTAAGTCTATGGGCATATTGCTTCTTATATTATGCGCCACACCTTAAACATTTTATATGCGGTCAGTCAGTTAAAATCAAAAATAAAATAAATCAAAACTTGAATTAACTTTTTCCATTAATGCAATTTTGCTTGTTGTTCTGGAACATACAAGTCAACCACGTGTAAAAGTTCTACTTTCGTTTTAGAATCGGGTCAATTATTAGTACATTCTGCCATAGGGATATCGCTACGGCTTGTTTAAATTAGAATTTTGTGCAGAGATTATAATTTTTTTTGAAATTCCGTTTTTGTCCGAGACCTTTGTATAAACGAATGGTACAGACTGGGTGCTTATTTATATGATTTAACTTGATTGTAGCACAAAAAGGAAGGGGGGGGTAAATACTGTTTAGCTGGCAGGGCAAGGTCTGTTCTTTAGTTGTGTGTTTTATAAGCCATGCAAGTTATGATATTATACTTATCGAATTTTTTAAATACATGAATAAAAATATTGTAGAGAATCAATTGCAATGAACAATACAAAATTTAGAACTGAAGTAATTAACATTTATTCATGAGTTCGATAAACAACGTCATGTTTCTACATTCAAAATCAATACATTTCAGGGTTTTTTTTTTTCTCGGATTAAGCGAAGTGGAGTTTCCCTGCATCTGAATTGTGAACAATAAATGCTAGTATTATTTCAAAAAAGTGCTTTCACTAAACCATCTTTCTCTTTATATTTATATGATTGTACATGTTTATTTTGCACACTTTTTTTTTTTTAAATTAAAAAGTGAAGTCATTTTCTCGACTACGTATTTACCGGTCCCAAACCATCGTTAACAGAAATTCAGAATTGAAAATACATGTGACCACCTCCCCCGGGATATTCTTTTATCTGATAAACGAAATATACTCCCCGGCCTAAATTCTTTTATTTCGCATTTATAGCAACCTTCATTTTTTTTTTGTTTAGTTTCTTATTCAAGCATGCCTTTAAGATCTACTGTTATGTATAAAATCACCTACATTTTAGGGTAGGGTGGAGTAATTTCGACCGATTATTTTTTTTGTTCCCTAAAATTTGTGAAAACATGTCACTGTTGTGTTATGCTACGACTTTTACTGGATCCTTTTACCTTCGAAATACCTTTTATCTTTCAGATTACATTGATTTTGTATATATTTTTAGTCATAAAATGAAATAAATGCGTTCGATTTACAAGATATGTACGTTGGGTAACTTCGACCGCACACGGGGTATTTTCGACCAATTGGACAATACAAAGGAAATAATTTGCGTCATCTCTAATATTATAGTAAAAAAAGGGTATTCAAATTTTTCTGCTGAACAGCATAAAAGATCAAGTAAAATTACTGACAAAAAATGACAATTTTCTAAATGTTACCTTATTCGAAGACATCGAGTGCACCAGATGTCTTTGACGCCGATTTGCCAACATGGTTAGGGCATGCTACAAATGTACATGTACAGGCATCTAAACCGCATGTAAATAAAACAAATGATTTTTTACTATTGTAGTACTAGTTTCTACCAGGTATTAATGTACATAATACTTAATATCCTAATATTTTACCGGACGGTCATGAATTCTCTCTGATGACAGATAGTAAATTGCGTCATTTTACATTGGTCGAAGTTACCCACTGACGCCGTTTTCATGTAGGGATAACTTCGACCGATTTCTGTTTAGCTGATTGCAATTTAATTTGTAAAAACTTAATACTATAAATTAAAAGGGTATAAATTTCATTTTCAAATTAATATTTGATAAATGTCACGTCAGGGATATCCACTGATTGTCTTTCCATAAAGGATTTTTATGAGGTGATAGTTCGCCGCAGTGGCCAAAAATATACTCGTCTGTAATTTTTCGGATGATAGAGCCTTTTCTTTGATGTAATTTTCCAATAACTATCTTAATAACGCTAATGTAAAGAAAATTATTATGGACACAATATATTAAAAATACGTTTTCATTCTGCATAATATAAATATACATACACAGTTTTACGCCATAAAGAAAATATATTAATGTATTTATGAACGGTCGAAATTAACCAGGTGGTCGAAATTACACCATCCTACCCTATATGTTTTTGTGTTCTTTGTATACTATTGTAAAATAGTAAAAAGATTCAAATAAATGATTGATTGAAGAAATATGCGTAAAACTAAAAGATGAAATTAAATACTGAAGAAAGATAGATGTTTGTGAATTAATAATTTGAATAAATCTGTACAAAGTACAAGATGTACATGTATATATCTTCTATTTTTATTTTAGTACCACAGTGTTATATTCTAAATATTTTTTCTATCAATTTTATTCGTCATCAAATTCAATATTACAGATTTTTTTTCGTGCGTCTGTTAACTTTAAAATTGTTCCAAAGTAGCGAGTACATGTACAGTGCAGGTAGTTTGTTTATTGATAACACCGGTAGCCGCAGACGAAGAACAATAGGTAATTAGTGCCCATTGTTACGCTGACCACTACAATTTGCATGGAATATACAAGTTGTACCCTGATCTACCCCGGGGTTGAAGACATGTACACAATTCAGCCAAATC